TACGGTACATTTGAGGCGGGCGTATTCTCCAGATTTGCACCAGTCAATGCCAATGCGCCATGTCGTCTCTTCCGATAGGCAAGTTTGACAAGCATCCCCCGCTGAGCAACACGAACTCAAACTCAATCATCGTCTGGTTCATTCTAAAGTTTCTGGTCTGAATGACCACAAATTCTCTTCAAGGTTACATACAAAATGAGAGGCACGATCTTTGGATTGGATCTCAGCTTAACTTCGCAACCAATGGAATCTGCTGACAACATGAACACCTAACAACCCAACATGTTTCGATTCCGCTTGCAAAATGCACGATGGATTGCTCTGTTTCTATACAGGGTACGTGATTGATCGAGATGCCGCCGTGCTGCCGATGACGTGCAACGACCACATGAACGCCACATGATTTCAATAAGTATTTAACATATGCTAATCGCCTAATAGATCCTGAGGTCTCCCGCACCTCGAATAGAACAAACGACTTAACCTGATAAGGTTTTATAGTTGTTCTAGTGGTTTATCCAGTACGGGGTAGCAAGTAGCATCAGCGTTGAAACTGAAACGCCAAGGATGGCTTACATATATGGGATTATTACGATCTTGATTGAATTCACTGACGTGCTGCCGATGTCGAGCCCCAGGGAAGCTTGATTCGCCACGGCATGTTTCTGCTGTAGACTTGGCATGGATAACAAAATGTTTCTTTACCAGCAAATATACATACAGTGAGATTGGTCAACTCCATGATTTTTGTAAGATGTAAATTTATCTTGTTTATAGCTTGATGTACATTATCTTCTTTTGTAGCTTCTTTCTTTAACGTTTAGGCAACTGCTCCATACTTGATCCGTACCTATTTGTTTTAGCACCAAATTAACATAGCCTGAACTCTAGGTCTTTCCAATAAATAAATAAATAAATAAATAAAGCCTCAACTACAAGTGCATCATTTGAAATTAACATAGCCGAAGCTGACCAATGGATTCAGGCCGGAGCAGTCGGGCTACGTGCACTGGGGCAGGGCTAGGACATCGTCAAGATAGCCATGGATTAGGAACGTTTTATTTCACAATGTAGCGTGCACAAAAACTAACGATCAGGAGCGGAACTCTTGTATTGTATTATAAACTCTTTCTTCTAATACAATGATATGCACACTCGTACGTATTCGAGAAAAAAAAAGAAAATACAGTAAGGTTGTCCATGCCTTTCCCTTGATCCGAGTTTCTCGACTGTCATCCTCAAAGTATTTTATATACAAATAGATATGTTAAACAAATAATTTATATCGCTTCATCTAGATGCATGTCGTAAGGTGTGGTGCTATCTGTTTACCTGTGTTGCCCTTTTCTCATAGAAGCGGACTTGGCTTACATAGCCAAGACACCTAACCTAACCCAGTTTTGAAATGAAACGGTGCTTTTAAAAACAGATAAACTTTCCAAAAGTTACTAGGCTACTCCCTCCGTCCCTGAATAAATAGATTTCTAAAGTTGTATTAAGTCAAACTTTTAAAGCTTTGACCAAATTTCTAAAAAAAAACCGTCAAGATTTATGACACCAAATTAGTATCATTAGGTGTACCATAGAATATATTTTCATAATATGCTTATTTTATGTCATAGATGGTGCTTTTTTTCTATAAAGTTAGCCAAATTTAAGATAATTTGACTTGCACGGATTCTAGGAATTGATTTATTTTGAGACGGAGGGGGCATTGTTTGGACAAACAGGCCGTTGATGAAACGTGGTGCTTGGTTCCAGTCAACTGACAGTAATAGCGATGGAAATGAACGGCAAGCAAAGATTATCCTGTCCTTTGGAATACATCAGAACTACAGCTTGTATCCAATACCAATTGAAATTGTTTTTTTTTTTTTCCATTTATCTGCCGTGATCCAAACAGTGAAACATGCCTAAATTGAGCGCTGCATCTTCCATTGAATGCAAGTTGTCACACTGCAAACGTGGAAAGCGAGCGAAGCATTGGCAAGAAGACAGCTGAGCAGTTACAAGTAGCAATCAAAGCAAAAACGAGAGAAGAATCTTGTTAGTGGAAGCATCATCTGTTTCGCATATACAATTATTCTTTCCAGAACATCCGTTTTGGATAAAATCAACCCAGTAGTCGCTGCACCAATGATACCGTTATTCTGAAAGAAAGCTAAACCCGTGATTAAATCTAAACACTAGCTATCAGTGACAGGTTCTGTTGAGCCATAGGTAAGCAAGTAGGCTGATGGCCTGATGGGATCGTCTTCTCTCTCTCTCTCTCCAAGTGGACGCTACAAGTCTATTTAGATTACAGTGTCTGAACTCTAAACAGATAGGGTATCCAACTATCCATCTCATGCTTCCAGATAATGCAGAGAAGAAATCATTACAAATGGAGCGCAGGTCACCGTTGAAGTCGCCTAGCTCATCGATGGGATGGTTGCCGCCGGAACAGACAGACATTCGAGAATTCAGTGGGAAGTTTGCCGATGCAATCTATCAGGCGTCCGCCGTGGTCTAGCTGACTAGGATTTCCAATCCACGCTTGTACTGAATAAATAAAAGAAAAGGCACACGTTGTTCTCAAGGTTTAGGTGGTGGTGTTGACGAGGTGATTATGCGCCACAGTCGTAGCAGCTCCACGCCAGCACTCACTGCGCGATAGACTGGCCACCTAACACAAGCAGCTGGCTTCGATGTAACCTCCGTGACTCATCCGAGGTTTTTCAGCGGATATTATGTTCTCTTCTGCTTCCATTTCTGCTGTGAAAATGCTTTTAGGAGTCATCGAGATAAACGAAACGATCTAGATTGGCTCTGCCAGGTGTGAATTGAGTGTATTTCACCCTTGTGTTAGCCACGCCATGGTTGGTCTTCTCCGTCCCCGCTATTAGCATTAGGTTAGCTTTCGAGAAACTCAGAAACACTTGAGATTCTGTGACGAGGCGTAGAGTTCTTTTCACCATTCTCTCATGGCAAAAGGCGATCGATGCTGACCCGGCGTTGGACAGGACGAATCGGTGGACTCGATCCGGCTGCGGTTGCAGTGCAGCCGTTGTTTCGCCTCCGTTTCCATTCGACGCGAGTGCGCCAAAGCCGGAAAGCGACAGGCGCTAGGGGAGAAGAGACTTGTCGTCGTAAAGAAAAGAAAAGAGGTGCTGCTGATCAAATCAGGTCAGCCGATCCTCTTGCGTTACCGTCTCACTAGCTACTTCAACGCGATACGGTGGCTCTGACGGGTCGTTCATAACAGTTTCCCTTTGCGTCTTCTTGCCGAGGTTTTGGATAAACATAAACGTCACGTAATTCTCGAGAACCCAAAGTCCTGACAAAAGGGAAGTACTATTACGACGACAACGAGAAACTCCCAGTCCGGTTCGGCACTGCGCCAGCACCGACTCGCCGCGCCTCAACGGTGACCGTATCGTCGTCTAAAGCCTGTTCGTTTGATCGTAAATGATTTCGTAAATTTTTAGCTAGAACAGTTTTTTTTCTCATCACACCAAACCAGCCAGCAGTAATAATTCACGATCATATATGATCGTTTTAGTCCCAACCGAATAGGCTGCTAGTTTTTTTTTTCTCGTTTTTTGGGTCGAAAGGTGTAAAACGGTGTCTGACACGTCTCGCGAGTCACCACTTTGCACGTGCAGGGGTAACGGAAGCAGAACAGAGAACGGGAGATAGGGACTGCAGAAATTCTTTTTAGGCCCACGTATAGCAGGCTGATTGCCCAACCAGGATTCACATGGGCCTTAATGGGCTAAGGATTGTTCACTCGCGCTGGGCACCGTGGCCAGGCCTGGCCTACCTGGCCTACTCGTACAAATCCCTCGTAATCAAGGCCGGGAACCCACGACGGCTTTTCCTTTTTATTTTCTATATATAAACTAAAAATAAAGGAATTTCCTCATCAAAACAAAAGGAAAAAAAGCGAAAGAAGTCAGTCACCTCTGTTTTTTTTTCGGAAAGCATACGTAAAGGCTAAAACTATTTGTTCCTATGCAGTGCAATTTAGCCGTTATAGCCCTGATTTAGCATGCTATTAACTGTTCAAGGGGGGAGATCGCTAAATGCCTTACTCCTCTATTTAGAACACTGATCTATACTAAAGAGAGAAAAAAAAATATCCTTTTTTTGTTCCACCTCCTCCTAAACTATCAGACAGTGGAGAGTTTATTTTCGTTATGTTTTTTTTTAATTCCCAAGCTGCACTTACACTCTGTGTCCTATATGAAACCCGAACTCACGTGATCCATATTCATATGAGTTAGAATAACTCACGTCTAGCGATAATCAATACGAAGTTTGATACCAATACATATTGGGCGCACCATTCGTGCCTTATATGTGATTTGTACTCGTGAGCCGTGCTCTTACGAGTTAGAACAACTCGCATCTAGTAATATATGAAGTTTGATTTTAATATGTACTCGCTTCATTTCTTTTTACATATCGTACTGGCTTTGTCCTAAGTCAAATGTTTTCATCTTTGACCATTAATTTTATAAAATGCATGTCGTTTTACAACGTGTAAATTATGTATCATAGAGTATTTGTCGTAGTAAATCTAAAGGCATAAATCTTATGTTGTTAACATGTATTTCCTCAATTTCAAATTATAGATCATTTTGTTTTTTTAGATATATAGTTTTTAATATATATTTAGCTATAGTCTATATCTAGATATATAGCAACACAGAAAAGCCAAAACAACATATATAATTTAAGATGAAGGGAGTATAAGTTTTTTGAAATTGATTGTCAAATCAAAGTTACCAATATTTGATTTAGGACCAAGCTAATATCACGTGTAAAAATAACGGATGAAGTATTCGTTGGAACGTAAAAAGAAAAAAAGAAAGAGAAGAGCACGGTTTACTGATTAACGAAGAGAAGAAAAACGTTGACGGATTTTTGGCAAAAGGCGAACTTGTTTTCTCGCAGCGCGTGCTGGCTGCTCTCAGTCTCTTCCCTTCCCCCTTGCGTACCACGCCTCGCGTCTCGCGATGCCGCCCAAATCGAAGGCGGCCGCCGCCGCCGCCGCGGAGCCGGTAGCCGTCGAGGACCTCTTCACCTCGCTCCACCGCCACATCGAGGCCGGTGCTTTCGAACAGGCCGCTAAGGTCGCCGACCAAGGTCAAACACTCCATCTCCCCCCGCACGGTCCCGAGTCTCGTGCCCTAACCCCCGTTCGAATCTGACTCCCACTGGTTCCGCAGTTCTCAAGGCGGCGCCGGGGGATGAGGACGCGGTGCGATGCAAGGTGGTGGCATACATCAAGGCCGACGAGATCGACAAGGCGCTCGCCGCGATCCGCGCCGCCGAGCGCCTCCCGATTGACCTCAGCTACTACAAGGTGACGCGACTTGTCCTCACTTGCTCTTGCTCGCCCATCCCTGCTTGGCTCACTAGGAACTAGACTCTGGTTAGGATGCGGGAGTGGCCAGATCTGTATGGGTTTATGTCCTATGATAAATAAATCAGTTGTTTTGTGTGATTGAAACGGAATTTTTCACTTGATGAACTCCTCCAATGTAGTTTAGTGCTGATGTTGGTGACTCTGCAGTGAAATTTGCTATTGAGGTCATGCAATTCAGCGTAATCGTTGCATTGCGTGCTGTGGTTCTGTGCTCTGCCCAACTTATTTTCATATGTTAGGAGAATGACATCGAGGGGTGGGAAGGTAGTGGAAAATCACGCACGCAGTTACCTGTGACATATTGGTAGAAACTGCTGAACGAGAATAAGCTTTCATGTCATGCTGCAACACTTTGTTGACTTAAATATGAAGTAATTCGCTCATCCTTCGGGTTGAACACAAGAGATAATTTATGTTTAGTATATTTATTTAGCTGTTCTAACATTCCCCAGTTTAACTATTGTTCGTATAATATCTACACATCTAGCTTAACCCACCTTGACAGGGCCAACTCTTTTAATTCCACACTTCCACTCATTAACTTTATGGTCTATAATACCTGTGTGAATTCTTAAGTCTGATCCTGTTGCATTTGAAACAGTATTTTGTATGCTGAAGTTGAAGTATGACTAGACTCATTCTCTATTCGGTGCTGTTCCTCGCGTTTCGTAGAAGTTAATTACTTCTGTGGTGTCTGTTTCATCTAAGTAGAAATTTGAATTATAACGTAGTGTTGGATAACCATGCGCTTACTTTTTTGCCAAATCTGATCTTAGGGCGTTATTTTTGTTATTTAAAAACAACCTGTGTGATCAAACTAAGTATTATTATTATTATTACCATTCAGGCCTACTGCTGCTATAGGCAAAACAAACTGCAAGAAGCTCTGGAGCTTTTAAGAGGTCAAGAAGAAACTTCAGCTGTTCTCCAGCTGGAATCCCAGATCTTTTACCGGCTAGGAAGAATGAATGATTGCATGAGTAGCTATGAGAAGCTTCAGAAATTTAAAATTGACTCAATGGATCTGAAGATAAATATCATTGCTGCTCTGGTTGCTGCTGGAAGGGCTTCTGAGGTGCAGGCAGCTATGAAGGCGCATAAGGTTGATCTTACCACGAGAGCACTCAGGGATACTCGTAGCTTTGAGCTCGCATACAATTCTGCTTGCTCCTTGATAGAAAACAAGAAGTACTCTGAAGCTAAGGAGCAGTTGGACTTGGCTAAAAGGTGAGTTTCCTGGTGTAGTGGTTGCTAAAATGAATGTGTCCCTTCAGTTTACTGAACTAATTCTTTCATTTGCACAACCTTCTAACATTGTTAGATTGAATTCAAGAAAAACCTCCTTTTCTCAATAGTTAACTAGTTTAATTGTTTCCATAAGAAAAGGCAAAAATGTTCCTACACAATCCCAGATATTCTTTTTATGGAGATGCCTCAGCTAGTGAAATTATGAAGGCCATTCGGCCTTTATGCGTAAACAGTTGGCTGGATTATAATTTCCTCTTGTTTGCTCTGCAGAATTGGGAAAGAAGAGCTTATGGTGGAAGACTATGGTGACACGGAGATTGAATATGAATTAGCTCCTGTGTCTGCTCAGCTTGCTTATGTGCAGCAGGTAACTAAATCTGGAGAAACTCTCTTACATAAAGTCAACCACTATTCTATTGATTGCTTCATCATATTTTCAGCTACAAGGACAATCTCAAGAAGCTATGCAAACCTATGTTAATATGATAAACAGGCTGTCAGCTGATCCATCATCACTTGCTGTGGCAACAACAAACCTTATTTCACTAAAAGGTACAAAAGATACTGCAGATAGCTTGAAGAAGCTTGATCGGTTTATTGGAACAACTACAGCTCCAAACCAGTTGCATCTTGTTGAAAACCTTGACTTCAAGTTATCCCCAAGGCAGAAAGAAACTCTGTATTCTGCACGTGTTCTTCTACTGCTCCATGCAAATAAAACTGGTCAGGTTTGTGTTTACAAATTTCATTCCTCTCCTGCTTCTCTTTTGTGAAGAAATCACCTATTTGAAAATGAGTGGTGTAGTGGGATCATTCTGTTATCTGAATTTCGTTTCTCATACTTGTGAGATTTCTAAACCTTATTTCAGATAAAGTTATTATAATTCTAACCCTAGCAGTGGCATGAATGATGAGTGACGAGTCATATCAAAATAGTTTTTCCTTTTTAGTTAAGAAACTAGGAGTTGCCATTGGATTGCAAAGTAGCATGTATGTTGCTAAATTGGGTTTGTTGCATGCTCATCCTGAACCTCTTTCCTGACATTTTGGCAAGGCCCTACAAATTTTGTTTTCAAATTCGTATAACTGAACTAAGCATTGTCTGTTCAGTCCTTGAGTAAAATGACCATGGTCAATATAATATACCGTATGTTTGGTTGTAAAATGACGTTTGCATTAAAAAAACATGTGTTTATATGATCACCTCATTGGAAAATTATCATCATCAATACCCCTTTCATTTGTTTGGGTGGGCGTTTTCGTGATCCTCTCAATGATTGCTCATTTCCGTTCTTGTTTTTTTTTTCTCAAGGCACATGAGTTGGTCAGTGGACTGCTTGGTATGTTTCCAGATAGCGTATTCCCTGTTTTACTTCAAGCCGCTGTTCATGTGAAAGAAAAGAAGGTTCAGAAAGCTGAAGATGTTCTTAGCCAGTACGCTGAGAAACATCCTGAGAATTCTAAAGGGCTGCTCCTTGCACTTGCTCAGATTGCTGCTAATGCCAACCATTTTCAGCTTGCTGCTGACTCACTATCCAGAATACCTGACATCCAGCACATGCCTGCAACAGTTGCTACATTAGTGGTTCTTAAAGAGCGCCTAGGTGACTCCAATGCTGCAGCTTCTGTACTTGATTCTGCTATCCACTGGTGGAAGAATTCCATCACTGAGTATAACAAATTAGATATATTAACACGGGAGGCTGCTGCATTTAAACTCAGTCATGGACGTGATGAAGAGGCTTGTTTGTTGTACGAGGAACTTGTGAAGAGCCATGGAAGTGTTGAAGCTTTGGCTGGGCTAGTGATGACTTCAGCACGCACTAACCTGGAGAAGGCTGAACAATACGAGAAGAAGCTGAAGCCATTGCCAGGCCTCAAAGGAGTTAATGTTGAGAGCTTGGAGAAGACATCTGGTGCAAGGCATGTTGAAGGGCCCCAAGACATGAAGGTAGATGTTCCTGAGGAAGTGAAGAAGCAAAAGGCTAAGAAGAGGAAGCGCAAGCCTAGATACCCGAAAGGCTTTGATCCAGCGAACCCAGGGCCGCCACCAGATCCTGAGAGATGGCTACCCAGGAGAGAGAGATCCAGTTACCGTCCAAAGAGGAAGGATAAGAGGGCTCAGGTCAGAGGTGCTCAAGGAGCTGTGTCTAGGGAGACAGCGGCTACCAATGCTGGTGGTTCCTCAAAAGGAAACCAAACCACTAGTTCATCCAAGACACCAGCGGCAAATACTGATCAGCCAAAAACTAGCAACAAATCCAGGAAGAAGAAGTCCAGGTCTTAGATGAGAAATTTAAGTTACAACACAGTACAAAAGAATATGTTCGTTTATCTTCTTGATGACTTGCAATTTTGGGCTGGATTGCATTCAATTGCGGATTTGCTTTGCTTTTACACTAATGTTTCAAGCGACTGAGACTATCGAAAATTTTGCTGAGACGTGTTTCGATGGGTTGCCCCGGTAGAATTCTATTTTTAATTGTTACAAGTTATATAATAATCCTTTAATTGATTTCATTCGGGAATATGGTAACTCTTGTTGCTCCTAAGCTTCCGCGTTACCTCAGGCCCCTTGTGACTTGTTTACTCTAAAATAATTGCAGCTAATGCGATCACGACATGTGTTGTTTTGTCGTTAGTTGCTGAGGTAAACCTCTTCGCGCCGGTCCAACAGTGGTAATATTAATCAACCCAGTTGGAAGTTTCGAAAAGTTAGGGCAGAAACCACTTCCCGAAACTCTCAGAAACTGCCACATCCATATTCTTCGCGAGGTTACACCCTCTCAAATTACAAGATCACTAGAAAACTTGCAAATTCAATCATCGTTTTTCTCAAATATATGCAAAGATTTGAGCATCTTTGTAATTAAGTATAAGAGTTAACCATACAAACGGTAGCGTAGTTTAACCATACGAGTAGCAAATTTCTAACATCGTTAACTGTTAACATCTCAGCTACGTCTAAAACAAAGAGTGTAGTACAGAAGCTTGCTTTTGCTAGCTGAAGAAACAAAGCAGCCGGAGCCCATTAGTGCGTGCGGTGCAGCTATGCAACGCGAACCAAGAACGCTGTTTGGCATGGGAAGCATGCCGGGTTCCGGCGCGGCGACGACGAAGCCCGGTCCAGCGTACATGGCCCGCGGCTTCCATAGTATCTCCTCCGTGTCGAGGTCGTTGCTGCCAGTACTGCTGCTCTCGCAGTCGTCGAGCCGCTGGTCGGCCTGCGGCGGAGGACGCTCCTTGTGCACGTCCCAGCGCTCGGCGGACGTCGCGCGGCTGATTGGCCACTTGCTGCTGCTTATGAGGGAAGACGTGCGTGAAGACGAAGACGACGACGACGAAGCTGGGCTCGCTGCCTTCTTGTGCGCGTCCCACCTCTCCACGGAGTCAGCCCGGCCGGGCTTGGGCGGCGGCGAGGTCACGTTCTTGCGCGGGGATCCGTGTCCGGCGCTGCTCCTGACGCTGCCGGTGGAACGAGGACCTGTTGTTGATGATGATGATGAGGCTGAGGGTTCTGCGCTGGTCGGCTTGGTCGTCTTGCGTGCGTCCCACCTCTCGTCGGAGTCGGCGCGGCTGGGCTTGGCGAGCGACTTTGGGAGGACGGCGGCGACGCACGGTGGCGTCGGGAGCAGCGGCAACATCTTCCACTTGGGCGGGGTCGGGAGCAGCGCCGGGAGAGCCGCGTGTGCCATGGCGAGGTGCACGCGGGCGACCGGGATCGCCATGGATCGAAGACGGAGACGCGCACACCAGAAGGCCAAGGGCGCGGCGCCAAGTGAGCTGAGGAGATGAAACAGAGAGGCGACGATCGGTGAGATGATTTCCGGTAGCAGCGCGCAGCAGACATATATAGGCCCCAGGGATGCCTGGCAATTCGATCGAATTCTCAAGTGTTCGTCGGGGTGAATTGGAGTCGGAGTCGGAGGCCGAATTCATTGAGCAACGACTACGAGACGCGTGGGCGCCACGCCGTTTTTCTCCTAGTCGGATTCGATCTCTCTCCATCGACGCGCTGTCACAGTTACACCTTGCACAATCAGATAAAGTAATGGCCGGCCTGTTCGAGAAGTCGATCGGACTGCGGACGACTGGGCCGCCGCGCAAGCAACCTCTACGCCAGTAACTTGCATCGTCTCCTGATCTCACCGCTTCGTCTACTCTGGTAGATCGCACCGCGCTCCCAAATCCATTCTGACGGTCGTTCACGGCGCTTCTGGTAAGGTACGGTGTCTCTTCTTCGTTCGATCCATGGCGATACCCGTTGCGCGCGTGCATTGCCATGGCGCTCGCGGCTCTCCCCGGGCTGCTCCATACCCCGCCCAAGTGCACGATGATCCGGTCGTCGCTGATCCCGGCGCCGCCGTGCGCCGTCATCCTTGCCAGTTCGTCTCCCAAGGACCCAAGCCCAGCTGTGCCGACACCGTCGGGAGGTGGGACGCGCACAGGATCAAACCAGGCGGCAGCGACAGCCCGGCGTCGTCATCGTCGTCAGGTGGCCAGCGTCCGCCCATGGACGGGCAAGAGCGGCAGCCCCGGGCAGCAAAAAGGAGAGCGCGACGTCCTCCTCGGCAAGCAGAACCAGCAGCCGCGCCGACTCTGAGGAGAGGTGGGACGCGCGCAAGAAACCGGTGAGCCCTACAACGAAATATGCAGCAATGAGATACCCCTCAGGGCTCTGTGTTTCATTATATAGAGGTATTGTACATGGATTACATGAAGCAGTTAGACTACAACAAATCCTAGCTACAATTGTGGGATAATATCACCACGTTTACAATCACCGGAGCATATCAACTCCTAACTGAATATCTCATCATTTAACATCCTCCCGCAATCTCAGCCACTTACAAGGTTGAGATTGAATCTAAATTCTCGTAACTTTGCTGCAGAAATAGGCTTTGTAAAACCATCAGCTACCTGATCACCAGTGTTAATAAATCTGATGTCCAACAGTTTTTGCGCCACCCGTTCACGCACAAAGTGAAAATCGATTTCTATGTGCTTCGTCCTGGCATGGAAAACTGGATTAGCAGACAAGTACTTAGCACCAATGTTGTCACACCACAACCGAGCCACTGGGGAGTGTGATATACCAAGTTCTGTTAACAATCTTTGAATCCACATCATCTCCGCCGTCGCATTGGCTAAAGACTTGTACTCGGCTTCAGTACTAGAACGGGACACTGTGGGTTGTTTGCGAGCGCTCCATGACACAAGATTTGGCCCAAAGAACACTGCAAATCCCCCCGTTGATCTCCTGTCATCAACACATCCTGCTCAATCGGCATCAGAGAACGCACTTACAAGAGTGGAATTGGATTTCCGTAGTTTCAGACCCATCGTGAGAGTCCCTTTGACATAGCGCAGAATTCTTTTCACAGCACTCCAATGCACTGTCGTTGGTGAATGAAGGAATTGGCAAACTTTGTTCACCGCAAAGGATAAGTCTGGTCTGGTGAGCGTTAAGTACTGAAGAGCACCAACCACACTCCGGTACTTGGTGGAGTCTGCTTCCCCAAGACTGTCACCCTTAGTGAGACTGAGCTTCTCGGCTGTAGAGATAGGGGTGTCAACCGGCTTGCAATTCCACATGTTGGCGCGCTTCACAACATTAGTGGCATACCGCTGTTGAGACATGACCAGGCCATCACTGCTTCTCTTCACCTCGATGCCAAGAAAGTAGTGGAGATCACCAAGATCCTTGAGTGCAAACTCGGCCTCAAGATCTGTGAGCAACGCCTTGGTTGCTGCCAAAGATGAACTCGCCACAATGATATCGTCAACGTACACCAGCACAAACATAGTAGCTGTCCCTTTGTGATAAAAGAACAGAGATGTGTCCCCCTTGGACGTGTGAACCCCAGCTGAACCAGCTTGCCGCAAAGTCGTGCATACCAAGCACGTGGAGCCTGTTTGAGACCATAAAGAGCCTTATCCAGTTTGCAAACATAGGTTGGATGTTTCTCATCTTCGTATCCCGGAGGCTGACGCATATAGACCTCTTCCTCAAGAACACCATGAAGAAAGGCATTCTGTATATCCAGCTGGCGCAAAGACCAACCCTTTGAGACTGCCACTGACAAGACAAGGCGGATGGTTGCAGCCTTAACAACTGGACTGAAGGTATCCTCGTAATCAATCCCATAACGCTGCTTGTAACCCTTCGCAACAAGACGTGCCTTGTACCGATCGATTGTGCCATCAGCTTTCCGTTTGACTTTGTATACCCACTTGCTCCCTATGATATTCTTGTCTCTCGGTGCAGGAACCAGATGCCAGGTTCGATTGTTCATCAAGGCAGTGTACTCCTTGTTCATGGCCGAAGCCCAGCGATCATCTTGCAAAGCGGCTTTAACACTGGCTGGTTCGGCTGCATCAACGGAGCTGTGAAGACCCCAGCGCACTGTGCCATCAGTGTATTGCTTGGGCTTGGTGACACCATGTTGTAACCGTGTGCCATGACGATGTGGAGGCGGAGCAACCGTAGCTGGCACAGACGAGGCTGAAGGAGCAGTAGCCGTAGGGGATCCAGAAGAAAGATCTCCTGACATCGATGAAGACACGGGCGACGAGGTGGCACCGAGACCGGGATCAAGATCGGGACTCGGTGTGCCAGTAGACGGTCCGAGAGCCATGGGCGCAGTCGAGGCAGCAGGACCAGACCCGGACGCGACCGACCTGGACGCAACCGGGATTGTATCTGCCTCCGATCCTGCGTCAGTCCGAGGAGCAGGAGAATCCGCCCCGGAGGGCGTGCCGGCGTTGTCGCGACGCGCCGAATCCATGGAGCACATGAAATAGCGCTCAAATGCCCTTGTTTCTTCGCCGTTTTCCACCGGACTTGTTCCTGTTGCATCCAGAGAGGAAGAAGAACTTGACACAACATTAGTGGGGTCAGAATTAACCAAGCATTGATCATGTACCTGAGCATTCCCAAATTCAGGTGATGGGTTCTTAAGTGCATCGGGTAGGAGTTCAAGGTTGGCGCAGAGACGGGGCCCGGCGTTAGGATGGAGCTGAGAGAAAGAATATACCGATTCATCAAAGACCACATCACGTGAGACATACACACGACCTGTAGAGGGATCGAGGCACTTGAAACCCTTGTGTAAGTTGCTATACCCAAGGAAAACACAACGTATAGAACGAAATTGGAGTTTCTTAGCATTGTAAGGCCTCAAGTTCGGCCATACCGCACATCCAAAGGTTCTAAAGGAGTAGTCCGGAGGAGTGCCAAGGAGACGATCGTGTGGTGTATCATTAGTGATGACTTTAGACGGTAGGCGGTTAATGATGAAAACAGCTGTTAGGAAGGCTTCATCCCAATATTTTAGTGGCATGGATGCGTGTGCAAGAAGGGAGAGACCGACTTCGACTATATGGCGGTGTTTGCGTTCAGCGGATCCATTTTGTTGGTGTGCATGTGGGCAAGAAACATGGTGAGCAATGCCTAGGCACTTAAAGAAGGAATTGAGGGACTGGTATTCTCCTCCCCAGTCCGACTGCACTGCAAGAATTTTATGATCAAACTGGCGCTCACCATGTGTTGAAAATCATGGAAGCATTGGAAAACTTCAGACTTATAACGCAACAAATAGATCCAGGTGAATTTGCTAAAATCATCAATAAAACTGACATAATAAGAATGCCGACCCACCGAGATTGGTGCCGGTCCCCATACATCAGTGAACACAAGCTCAAAAGGTTTGGATGACACACTGTTTGACTTAGGATAGGGTAACTGATGGCTTTTCCCCATCTGACACGCATCACAAATCATACTTTTATTTGAATCACTAGAAAAAGAAAGCTTATGACGACTAAGAATCCTCTGAACAACGGGTGATGAAGCATGACCTAGGCGACTATGCCACAAGGAGGTGGAAGGCTTGAAGGCGCCAAGAACTTGTTTATTCGGTGGAGAATGATTTTGTGTATGTGGCTTCAATGGATAAAGACCTCCCTCACATCGCCCTTCTAGGAGTGTCTTCCTCGTCACCTGGTCCTTAAGAGAAAAATGGCGTGGGTGAAGTTCAAGAAAGGCATTGTTGTCTTTAACAAGACGATGAGCAGAGACAAGATTTTTACTTGCACTCGGAACATGAAGAACATTGTTTAAATGGATATCACGAACTGGGAAACGCAAAGTACTATGACCAATGTGATTAATTGTCATACCTGCCCCATTGGCCGTAAGCACTTGTTCTCCGCCACGGTACTTGTCGCGGAAGGAAAGCTTCTCCAATTCACCGGTTATGTGATCCGTTGCGCCGAAATCAACATACCAGTTGGTGTCCGCCCCATAGGGTGTCGTGCTTGCGGACGAAGCGCTCTTTTGTGGTGGCCCCGTGAAATTGGCGTCAAATCGCTTGAAGCAGCGCACCACCGTGTGGCCCTCCTTCCCACACAGCTGGCAGAAGACACCTTGAAGGAAGTTGCGGCCACCGCCGCCGCCACCACCGTTGCTACGGCCACCATTGCCACGGCCACTGCCACTGCGACGATAACCTCCACGGCCACCATCATTGCGGCCGCGAGACTGGTTGGAGTTGGAGTTGGGGGAGTTCCCCCCTCCCCCGCGACCACCCTTGGCGGCCATATTAGCGGAAGATTGCGACCCGCCGCTGGTAATCTCCTTGCGCTGCTCAAAGGCGATGAGCTGGGCATACAGCTCGTTGACGGAGATCGGTTCCACGCGAGAGGCCATGGCGGTCACGATGGACTC